TTGTGTAAATCAAAGTTCTGCATTGTTCTGTATTTTTGTACGTTTTGTAACTTGATATTTGTGTGCACTCCATAGCTATCTTTTATCTGATTGATTTTTCCTTAATATTACTTCTTTTGTTTGAGTCTTGTCTAAATAAGTCATAGTTTCTTATGGTTTGGCATCTCGATCAATATATATAGTATTTGATTTTAAATAGTTGAAAGTGTATCTAGTATTCATGATAAGGAAAACAGAGAAAAATCCAAGGTTGACATTGCAATGAAAGAACCATAATTTCATAGTCCACAAAAATCTAGATCAATTGAAGTCTTATCTTTGTTTATGTTCCAATTCATCTCCCAAATTGTGGCCTTGATCATGGTGCTGTATACGTGGTCATGTTTTCTTGCCTTCCATGCCTCTATTTGTTGATTCTGTGCTCTTAATCTCTTGAGTTATTTATTCTTTATTTTTTGCATTCAAGCAATATTTTTCGTTTGTTTAGTTAAATCTTAGGGTTTATCATCTATCATTTAACATGACCACAAAAATTTTCCTACACACACAACATTTTGTGGGGCCCGCAGCAAAAAATAAAATAAAATTTCGGCACGCAAAACGAATCTCTATAACATAACACAATCACTTTTCCTACAACATAACTCTTATAAAACCCTAAATCTTATGACTGACTATATGTTGTGCTGACACTCTTTTGCAGGATACAGCTTCTAAGGGTCCTCTTATTAAGGAAGAGATGCAAGCAATAAATTTCGACACAACTAGGACTTTTGATATCCATTGAAGAGGCTTAGTTCTTTGTTATGATTTATTTTAGATTTATTTTTATTATACTTTTTTGCTAAGTTTCCCTACAAGCCTAAATTCAATTTTATATACCATAACTACATCAATTTCAGGATAATCATCATCCTTTTTTTTGTCAGCATAAGGGTTGTGGATGAAGAATTTGTCCTATCATTTATTATCTTCATATTTTTATTTTATTTTATGGATTATAACCTTCTTATCTCTCTTCACATTTATTATGGATAAGCTTATTATCATTACTGCGTTGTATACTTCATAAGAAAGAAAACTTAGGGACATCTTTGCTTGGGGACATCCATGTGGCTATGTTCCTGGTATCAAAGGTTGAAAAATGTAAAGATTGACAAGAAAAGTTACACAGAAAAAAAGAAGAAGAAGAAAAGTTTAAGTGTCATTGCAGTTTTCCAATAACAGTGTTTTAACAAAAAAATTAAATGTTATAAGAAAGGATTTTAACGGATGAATTTCATCAATATCTTGCCATAGAAGGCAAGGGGGATAGTTTTATAACTCCTTAGAGCTCAACCAGTACTTGGAAAATTAATTCTTCAACTAATTTAAAATAAACTATGGGGCGTTTGGTATAAGAGATATTTTTTTTTACCGAGAGAAAAAGATTGTTAGGGATTTGGTAAGAATTTTTTTATTCCGGGTAAGTTACAAAAAAGTGTTTGGTTGGCCAAAATTTTGCAAGGAAAGTTGAGTTAATTTTACTGATGCTATGTTTGGTTGATGGTAAAATATTGATGAGAATGTGAATGAAATTATCAAAATACTTTTAATTTTTTGAATATGCCAAGAGAGTCATCATCAAATGTTGCATTTTTTTGGAAAAAAAGTGAATCAAATGTTACTTTTTGAGAATCCAAGATCAAGGAAAAAATAAATACCAAAGGTTAAGTGGAAAATAAATTTGCCTTTGTGTAGTTCAAATGAAAAATACCGGGTAAAAAAATTTGCTGATATTTTATTCACAATACTCATACCAAACATGGTAAATAAATATTCTCCACTCCACTTTTTCATCATTCCCTACCAAATACTGGTACCAAACATCCTTATGTTTATTTGTAATTGCCGAGATATCAAAGTTATCTGAATTTGATACAAACTATTCACGAGTTTAGAGAGGGCAATAAATTGGCTGATTTCCATGTAAGTCATGCTATCGATGCCTCCGATTTGTTTTTGTTTTTGTTTTTTTAGTAACTTGCGATTGTTTTTTAGTTTTGCATCCTTCCTTAGTCTTATTCTTTACGGTATAAAGGGAAGGGTATTAAATCAAGAATAACTTGCTCTGATTTACATTTTTGTGTAAAGAACATTATTAACTGTTGACCTACGTAGCACTGATACTGACACAGGACACGACACGATATGATACTCCGACATATTAATTCTAAAAAATGTTAGATTTGGATACGTTAGGACACGTTTTGATATTAAATAATAATTTGAACTAAAAATTCAACGCAACGCAACCTTTGAACTTTTTTTGAATTTCTATAACGCGTGTTGGAGTGTCGAAGTGTCGGAGAGTAGCGGGAAGTGTTGAACACAACACGTCAAGATTTTTGAAGTGTCGGTGCTTCATAGCTGCTGACGTTTCATTAAATCAATTATAATATTAAATTAATGTATATCTGACAAACTAAAAATATATATTCAAAATGTATTGAATCATTCAACTTAAGTTAATATATTTAACTTTATTAGTAATCAAATTAAATTAATTTTATTATTATTTTTTGGATATTTCTTCAATAGTTTATATATTAAAGGATTAATCCCATCGAACCGGATAGGGCCATAACACAAAAGTATCAAAGTTCTTCCTATCAAATTTTTAATATAATTATATATTCAGAACTCAAAATCATTAATTAAGTTAAAATGATTCTATATTAATTAATTTGCATATTTGGTGATAAAAAATTATTTATTTATAACGAGAGATGGGACGGATTAACTCAGAACTTGCTTTTATCTTCTTGTGAAAGAGATGAAATATAATTTGAGTAAGGGGTGTTTGATAGGAAGGAAAAAAAAAATGCCCAGGAAAATAGGATTGGGAAAATGATTTGGCTATATTTGGAAGGAGGGAGAGTAAAAAGGAGTCTGAAAAAAAAAATTATTGTGTTTTGCTTTTACACATGGAATAGCTTCCGAATTTTGTTATTGATGGGATGGAAATATTTTTTTCTTTTGCGGTGGGAAAAAAATTACACTTTTACACATAGCACTAGTAAAATTAATCTAATATTTTTATTAAAATTTTGAACTACCAAATATCTCTTAATAACTTATCCAGAAAAAAAATATTTCCATCATATTTTTGAATTTTTTTTCTCGATAAATAAATATTTCTCTCATACCAAACACTTTCCTTGAAAAGGATTGACCATGGTAAAGTTAAATGAATACATACAGTAATTCCAAAAATTGAACTTACTCACTAGCAATTTTTTTTTTATAGATATTTTAATCCATTTATAGCTTTGTAATTAGTATGATTCGGGATAGGTCTTAAGATTAAAATTTTAAACCTCTCCCAATATTAGTACTGAATAAAATCGAATACATGTTCTTATTTCTAGCTCAATTGCTCAGTTCCTTGACACAAGTTAAGCTATTATCATTTAATTCGTTGGTAGCCATTTTTTTAATGAGTTTCGATTTTCTCACGCGATAGGAGAAATTTTTTTCATGTTATAGACATATCTTATGTGGGCCCATATCTATTAAAAAAATAAAATAGCAAAAGAAAATATTGCATAAAAATTGAATGGTCATTAGTAGGAGAAAACAACTCTCCTATGACATGAGGAAATGTTTTCTCTTTTTTAATATATACCAAAGAGGCATAACTATGATAGGAAGTATCACTATGCAACCAAACACACTATTTACACATGACTAAAATATTTTTAAATAAGAACCAACTCTTTTTATTTCATGTTAGAATATAATTTGTGCAAGCCATTCCTATTAAATAAAAGATTCATCACGGACTCAATACAAAAGTTTATGTATGGTTAAATTTTAAGATTTAATATTTTTTATATTGTAAGAGATAAAATTATGTTTTTTTTTTTTTGATAACAGATAAAATTATGTTTTACACATATAGAAAAATGTATAGAACTCGTGCGGGATTATATGAAGAGAAAAGAAAGAAAAAAAATATGAGCTCATGTACTATTATATATATGGGAAATTTTTTTTTCATGTTCCATGAGAATTCAACTCTCATGTTAGTGACCTTTTGATTTGCGTGCAAAGTTTTTCTTTTCTTTTTAATAAATATGGGATCTACCACTAGTTGAGTCACAACATGAGAATTGAATTCTCATGCAACATGAGAAAATCAAATCCCTATATATATATATATATATATATATATAAATAATTTTATCTTTTTCAACCTAAGAAATATTCAACCTTAAATTTTATCATGAATTTTTTATTTTGTATAGAGATGTTACAATTAGTTTATCGCTTTGCGACTAATTTAATTTGATGTTGATCCCAAAATTAAAATTTTAAATTTTTCACAAAAATAATACTAAAAAGATCAAACACGTATTTTCTCTGACAGAACTACTATCATGAAACTTTTCAAAAAGGGCAGCACGCAATCATGTTGCTGGTGTTTCTTTTGTTGAATTGGGCCATGAAAATGTATTTGAACGATTAAACAAGAAATGGAATGTTCGAGTATACTCTCAAACTAGAAACTGGACCCCAATGACTCTGTTCCAATGAAAAGTTTACCTGCATTCGAATATATCTTCCAATAAAGAGGATATAAAAAAAGAAAATGCTACATTAATTACAAAATTAACTAGATATTTTTACCCTACTTCTATTATTATATTTATTTTATACTTTTGCATGTATCTCGTGACATTACCACTAATCCAAGTTCATAACGATTGTCAATAACAATGATTTGAACTGTTTTCAATTATTCTTTATCGGTGGGGTAAAGTTTGTGACATGCCCTTCATTGTATGGGGACAATTTTAGCTCTCTTTCAACCTTTTTTTTCAAAATAAAAAAATGATAATAACTTATCAGATACCTTTTGAATAATTATTTTTTAAAAAAAAAAACAGATCAGAGAAGTGCTTAAAAACAAGAAACAGCAAAATAACGTTGGTGGCAGCGTTGCACGCACACGACCTTCGCTGGCACACACAACACGATAACCATTCATTTTTTTCTCTCTTTCCCTCTCTTTTTCTTAACCCTTCTTATTCGCCTCTCTCTCTCTCTCTTTCTCTCTCTCTCTCTCTCTCCACCAATGGATATCCATCGCCGGCCGCCGCCTCCCACCGTACACGACGGCGGTGCTGCGCCCATACGTCATCCCCACCGTCTGAAGAGGCACTCCTCCGTCCCGTCCCCTACCCCGAAGGCCTCGGATGCTCTCCCTGTCCCTCTCTACCTTACCAACGCCATCTTCTTCACCCTCTTCTTCTCCGTCGCATACTATCTCCTTCACCGGTGGCGCGACAAGATTCGAAGCTCCACCCCTCTCCACGTCGTCACCCTCTCCGAGATCGCCGCCATTGTCTCCCTCATCGCTTCCTTCATCTACCTCCTCGGCTTCTTCGGCATAGACTTCGTCCAATCCTTCATCGCGCGCGCCTCCCACGACGTATGGGACCTTGACGAAGCCGACGTCGTCGCCGTCGCCGATCAGCGCCTCGATTTTCCCGTTGATCAGCCAGTTCCTAGATTGGCCCCACCGGAACCCTCGATTTCCTCCGAGGAAGACGAGGAGATCGTGAAGTCAGTGGTGGAAGGCGCCACGCCCTCGTACGCGCTAGAGTCGAGGCTCGGAGACTGCAGCCGAGCGGCGGCGATCCGTCGCGAGGCCCTGCAGAGGACGACGGGGAGGTCGCTGGAGGGTTTGCCGTTAGAAGGGTTCGATTACGAGTCGATTTTGGGGCAGTGCTGCGAAATGCCGGTGGGTTATGTTCAGATTCCGGTGGGTGTGGCGGGGCCGTTGTTGCTGGACGGGTTTGAGTACACGGTGCCGATGGCGACGACGGAGGGGTGCTTGGTGGCGAGCACGAATCGAGGGTGCAAGGCGATCTATGCGTCTGGTGGTGCAAGCAGCGTGGTTTTGAGGGATGCCATGTCAAGAGCACCTGTTGTTAGGTTTTCCACTGCCAAAAGGGCTGCACAGTTGAAATTCTTCTTGGAGGATCCTCTCAATTTTGATACCTTGGCTGTTATTTTTAACAGGTTAGTTTAAATGTTTGATGTTGGTGCTTAAAGGTTTTTATTTGTTTCTCAAAATCGTGAATAGATGAGTGTAGAGGAATATGGAGGACTGGAATTTGGTTATGTTTTCTTAGATACTTTTATTTATGCTGAATTTTGATGTTTGTTTCCTTTGGTTTCTTCAGGTCAAGTAGATTTGCCAGGCTTCAAGGGATTAAGTGTGCTATGGCAGGGAAGAACGTTTATTTGAGATTCACATGCAGCACCGGTGATGCCATGGGGATGAACATGGTTTCCAAAGGGGTGCAAAATGTTATTGATTTCCTTCAAAATGATTTCCCTGACATGGATGTTATTGGCATCTCTGGTAATTTCCATGCCCTTTCCCACTTTAATGGATACGATTTCCTGGATGCATCTTGTCACGAATACGTTTAATTTTGCATATGCTATCACGTACGGTCTCTGTTTTGATATAATTGTTTCTTTCTTGAAAGTGGTCCAATTACATTATCTTATTTCTTTCCGTCCTATTTTTTTATATATTACATTATATTATATTGTCATAAGCAGGAGACTTGTGCCATATAGAAATTGTCAAGTTGGATTCTTATCTGAGCTTTGATTTGTTTTTTCTATCTGCTTGTTGAAATCTGATAAATTTCCTTGTACTTTCAGATTAATTTATTTATTTTAACAAAAAGGTCAGTGCTGTGGTTAAGTGATATTTAGGCAATTTAATCTTATTTGTTAGAGTAATCATAATTTATTCATTTGTTGTTTGAACATGATGGGGAAAAAAAAATGGAACTGTGACACCACTCTCAAACTCATCACCAAATTATTTATGTTTCTCATTTGATCGGATTCCTATTTTGTGCTAGTATCTATTTCTTTCATCATGTCAATTCCAGTTCGTTGGTTAGTCTTCCAGTTAACTTGCTTGCATCTGTTGAATGTGTCACTATATTAATCTCTTTGTATGGTCGTTAGATGCCTATAATCAGGGCATGGTGAAATTATTTTAATGGGAATATTAGACCGAAAATGTGATGGTTATGTGCTGACTTGATCCTTTAGGAAATTATTGTTCGGACAAGAAACCTGCTGCAGTTAATTGGATTGAGGGACGTGGTAAATCAGTTGTTTGTGAAGCAATTATCAAAGAAGAAGTGGTGGAGAAGGTATTGAAAACCAATGTGGCTGCCCTGGTGGAGCTTAACATGCTAAAAAATCTTGCTGGTTCAGCTATTGCTGGTGCTCTTGGTGGATACAATGCCCATGCTAGTAACATTGTTTCTGCCATTTTTATAGCCACTGGTCAAGATCCAGCTCAAAATGTTGAAAGTTCCCATTGCATAACCATGATGGAAGCTGTCAATGATGGGAGAGACCTTCATATCTCAGTCACTATGCCTTCCATTGAGGTGATTTAGCATCCCATCTTTCATATAGATTTTACTCTTTTATAGTTAGTTAATTTTCCAATTTAATAACTTATGTTTTATATGATTTGTTGTCCTCTCAGGTGGGTACAGTTGGGGGTGGGACTCAACTGGCATCTCAGTCGGCTTGCTTGAATTTGCTTGGTGTGAAGGGTGCGAGCAAGGAGTCACCAGGATCAAACTCAAGACTCTTGGCCACCATTGTTGCTGGATCTGTTTTAGCTGGAGAGCTGTCTCTGATGTCTGCCATTGCAGCAGGGCAGCTAGTCAAAAGCCACATGAAATACAACAGATCAAGCAAAGACGTATCGAAAATATCATCTTGAGGACAAGGACATGTTTGCAGTCATTATATGTGAGTCTAAAATAAAAACACCGGGGTCCTTAAACGCAGAAACCTGAATTTGAGGTGGAAAATGGAAGACTTTAGATTAGGTTGTTGGCATCGACGTTTGGCTTTGTATTGCTGGCTGTAAATGTTTTATTATTTGGACGGAGGAAAGTAGAGTTGTGCCTGTATGGTGTCCCCTATAGATCCTTCCTTCCCTGTACACGTTTGTTATCTTACCCTGCCGAGCCATTGGATAGGTGTTAACATTCTCCTTCTCCTTAACCAAAACATTTAATGTGTCGTATTATAATTCTTTTCCTGGTATAATATGCTTAGTCTCGGATGCATCGGTTCTATGTAGTTGGGGACCAGATAGCCGGGTAGTTTGATGTATTTTCTCTCGTGGCATTGTCTGCTAGTATCCATGAATTGAATTTGACCATGTGTTTCCTTTGATTTCCCATTTATATATTAGTCTATGTGGATATTACATAGATTATTCTTTCGTCTTTTTCATTTGCTGTTTCAACTTTTAAGATGCTTGACATTGCTATTTGACGTATTTCGTTGGCACATAGCTCCTTTTGGATTCAAGCATAAGAATTATCACCCAGTCATTTGGCGTTACCTTGTCTTTGTAATTAGCACGAAATCACAGTTTTAATTGTGAATTTGGGAAATCTGTTTACAAGTGCGTACGTCTCTCTTGGCATCTCAACTCTAAAGTGGGGGATGAGATAATTTGTGTGTTGCATTCTGTAGAATATTATTAACCAGTCCCTTCAATGTATTTCTAGCACGCAGTTTTCCATCCTGAATGTTAAAATTCTTACGTCTTTATTACTTCTCTTATTTGAGTCCATCATTTTTTTTGGTACAACGAAAAATTGGAGTAAGTATTTCTCCAAGACTAAATGTAGTAAGTAATTAAATAAAGTACGAACTAATTTTAAAATTATACTAAATTTTATAAGAATTATTAATCTTACTACCAGACTTCCTTCTTTGCATTGTTTAGAATTTGCATACGACTCCCTTGGCATCTGAACTCGAAAGTGGGGTTTTTAAGATAATTTGTGGGTTGCACTTTTTAGAATATTATCAATCAATCCCTTCGATATATTTCTAGCACACACTTTTCCATCCTGAATTTTAAAATTCTTACATATTTGTTGCTTCTCTTAGTTGAGTCCATCATTTCTTTCAGTACCACAAAAATAAGAGGAAAGTAATAAATGGAGATTCAGCTGTTTCAATCATTACTCCATGACCAAATGCAGTATGTGATAAAATGAAGTTCGGACTAATTTTAAAATCCTACTAAATTTTATGAACTTGATCTATTTTATAAGAATTCTTAGTGTAACAGTTGTATAGATGAAATTTGTATTTAATTATAAATCTTTACAAATTTATTCTATTGACTTTTATTGATAAATATTGATTTTTCTCTACTAAATTATTAGATTGAAACCGCTTATATAATTATAACGTAATATATAAAATTCGTATACAAAGCAACCACCGAAAAAAAAAAATAGTATACAAAGCGAGCATAACGATAAGATAAGCATGATTAAATTATCAAATTAATAGTATTTTATAAAAACAATTAAATGGTGGAAATATATTAATTTTTTATTTCTCAATCAATTTATTTATTATCTGACTAACTCTGACTTTCCCAAAACTGTTTTCCTTTTAGAATTGAGGATTATGAGAAAAATAAACTCTTTAGCACTTGAACCAGATTGTTGATTGATTGTTACATGGAAAAAGAGAGCGATGGATACAAAAAAGCGTGAGTTCCACTAAAAAAATAAAAAAAGTATAAATTTCATCTCTTTATATCTATTTATCTTAATGCTTTGTTTGGGAGTTTGGAGGGGAGGGGAAGGAAGGGAAGGAAATTGAAAGTTTTTCTCTTTTCTTGTTTGGGAGCTAAAAAAATGGTAAAGGAGGAAAATGGAGGGTTAATGAGATATTTTTACCATTTTTAAAAATTAATATAATTATTATATTTTACAAATTAAATTAAATTTAAAATTTCTAAAAAAATTATTTATGTACTTTTCACAACCCAAAAAAGATCATATTTTCGATGGAATTTCTACGTTACAAACGATGAAAATTTCATCACAAAATTATATTTTTCGTATGAATACTTTTCGTCGAAAAGTGACGAAATTTTTCAATCGATGAAAATTTTTACAAAAATAAATTTTCTATCGAAATTTTCAACGAAATTTAGTTTCGATCAAAAGTTTTGACGAAAATGATTTCCTCCATCAAATGTTTTAAACGAAAAAAGAATTCTATCAAAAGTTTTGACGGAACATTTTCCGTTCAAAATTTCGATGGAAAGGTGTTCTGACGAAAATTTTGACAGAAATTGTTTTGTTAGAAATTTTGAGGGAAATGTTTCATTCGAAACTTTCGACGAAATTTAGATTTTGAAAATAATTTTCACAGAATATTTTTTCCGTCAAAATTTTTTGTTGAAATATTTTCCGTCAAAATTTTTTACGGAAATATTTTCTGTCAAATTTTTTTGATAGAAATGCGTTCTGTTGAAAATTTTGATGGAAAAGTTTTTTTCAAAAAACTTGATGGAAATATTTTTCGTAGAAAATTTTCGATGAAAATGTGTTTCGTTAAAATTTTTGACAGAAATTTTTTTTGCCAAAAACTTTAACGAAAATATTTTAGTCGAAAACTTTCGGCGAAATTTAAATTCTGTTAAGAATTTTGATGAAATTTTTTTTCGTCCACAATTTTCGATAGAAATATGTTTCGTTGAAAATTTTAGTGAAAATATTTTTCGTCAAAAATTTCGATGAAAATGTTTTTTTGTGAAATATTTTGGCAAAATTTAGATTCCGTAAAGAATTTTGACAAAAAAAAAATTCGTCAAATTTTTTTACAGAAATATTTGTTGTCACAAATTTTGATGGAAATATTTTTCGTCAAAATTTTGATAGAAATATTTTTCGTAAAAAATTTTGACGTAATTGTTTTACGTCGAAACTTTTCGATGGAAATGTGTTTCATCAAAATTTTGGACGGAAATATTTTCGTTAAAAGTGTCATCCTATCAATAATTTTGACTGAATTTTTTATTCCATACAAAATTTATGTTAGTGATTATGACAAAATCTGGTTCCGTCTCTAATTTCGTCTTTAGTTTTGACAAAAAAAATTTGACGTATATGATTTTCATCAAAAATATCATAACTATTTTTGACGAAATATTTTTCGTCAATAAATTCTGTCGGTATTTGAGACTTTTCTAATAATATCATATTTAAAAATGATTCACAATTATGTAGTTTTAACATTTTAATGCTAATGGTAGATAAGTAATTTTCAACATTTTCTCCCTCAAACCCTCCAAATTGGGAGAACTTTAATTTTAAGAAAAAAGAGGGTTTAGTAAAAATCTCTAATTCCTTCCCCTCCTTTTTTTAAACAAGGGTAGGGCTTACTAAAACCCTGTGTTTTTTTTCCTTCCCTTCGTAAAATCAACTTCCAAACAAAACCTAAAGGACCCTTTTTATAAATTAATAACAGAAGATCGTAAATATAATACCTACCAGTTTTGGGTACAAACGGGCCATGGGCTCAGGGCCCAAGTCCAGATTAAAATGGAGTTCGGAATCGAAACAGATCCCAGTGGCAGAAAAAGCACTTACTCGCTGCGAGAGAGAAGGAGCCAGAAACTGCTACTACTAGACACACTTTGAACTTCAAACTTAAACCCTAGTTCTCTCTCTCTCTATCTCTATTTCTCGTCTCCAACCATGTCAGCTATGCTGGTACGCTCTCTCTCTCTCTCTCTATTTCTCTTCTGTATTCTATCTGTGTTTCTCTAACCCAACCTAACACATCGTTACTTGTTGCAAATGCGGTACCAAACAGCAACCTCAGATCATTCTGCTCAAGGAAGGCACGGACACTTCGCAAGGTAAGGCGCAGCTTGTCAGCAACATCAATGCCTGCACCGCCGTCGCCGACGTCGTTCGAACCACCCTCGGCCCCCGCGGAATGGACAAGCTCATCCACGACGACAAGGGCGCCGTCACCATTTCCAACGACGGCGCCACCATTATGAAGCTCCTCGACATCGTTCACCCTGCCGCCAAAATCCTCGTCGACATCGCCAAGTCTCAGGACTCCGAGGTAACTAACTAACTAACTCTTTCCCTTCGATCTCCATTTTCTGCTTTTCAAATGCCGATGTTTTATCTTTCTTTTTTTTCGTCTCGTGTTAAGTTCGGTTTTCTGAGAACTATTTTTTTTTTTTTTTTATATTTGTCTTCGCTTGATTCAGATGCTTGAAATTGTGGAATTGCGTGTTTGTAAATAAATTATTGTTTTGTTATACTTGTTGCGAATGTGTGAAGGTTGGCGATGGAACCACCACTGTGGTATTGCTTGCAGCTGAGTTTTTAAGGGAGGCCAAGCCTTTCGTTGAAGATGGTGTTCACTCTCAAAATTTAATACGGAGCTATAGGACTGCAAGCACCTTGGTTGGTATTTTTATTATTTTTTTGCCTCAATCAAGAAGACTGTCCTGATTTGTGGCATTATTATTGTCGTCATTGACCTAGGCCATTGAGAAGATTAAAGAGTTAGCGGTTAGCATTGAGGGAAAAAGTCTAGAAGAAAAGAAACACTTGCTTGCAAGGTGTGCTTCTACAACACTTTCTTCGAAGCTTATAGGTGGAGAGAAAGAGTTCTTTGCATCCATGGTTGTCGATGCTGTCATTGCAATTGGGAATGATGACAGGTTGAACATGATTGGAATAAAGAAGGTACATGTATCGGTTCTCTTACAACATTGTATATGTATGTTGCTTAGTCTCGTTTGTATTGGTAATTGTCTAATGTATTTTTTTAATAAAACATACTAAAAAGCCTCACCAATGTTTATTGGGGAAAATGAGAGTGCAAAATATGGAGGACCAAAGATACTCTTAAAGGCACTATAATAAAACACACCAAAAAGCCTCATCAATGTTTCTAGGTTCTCTAATCACTTTGTAAATGTGTGTGTGCATCTCTTCAAGTGTAGTTAGAGTTAGATATTGCTGTGTGTGCTTTCTCTTTCTTGGAGGTTTAAAGTTTACGATGACCAGAAGAGTTGAGCAAATCTTTTCAAAATAATTTGACATTTTTTAGGAAATGCTGATTACATGGCATTTTATGTCTGGTTGTAATACAACTTACTTCATTAATTGATGTTAGGTTATCCAAACACAGTGCTAGGAACAGGTGATGGCTTCATAGAGATCTTGATTTTACCCCTTTCTGATTTCTTTTCCTGGGGAATGACAATGGTTTATTTCAGTAAATATCATTTTGATTCACAAGATGAATTATTCAGACCACAATCTCCTCATGGAATGATGTTCCTCCACAAACTAATTAATATGAGCATATACAAATTGTGTTGAGGTCTTGCTAGAGCTGGTCTGCATAGATGCTGACATGCCAT